ACGATCACCATACCGTAGGGTTCCCTGCCTTATTGGCTACAACAGACCACCACTCCCCTGCGGTCTTGTCAATGCGTGCCTTGATGATACTCTCATTCAGCTGAGGTATCCTGCCCTCCAGCTCCTCATTAGATTGCCTCAGAGTCCTATTCTCCGCCTCCAGAGCATCCACCTCATCCCAAGCCGCATCGCGATATTCACCAAAGAAATCCTAAAGATACTTACTGTAATCGATCAGTCCCGTGGCGCGTGACGCAGCTGATAACACTGGCTAACTGTGAGTATCCTATTCCCCATGTCGTGGTGGGTCTCTGGACGGCTGCCATCCAGATGAGGTAGTTGGTCAGCTTCTAATAGACCCACGAACATCTTCACAATTGCGTCAACCAAACCAGCGTCCACCAGATATTGCCTGAGCCCGTCCTTGACGCATATCGATGACCACCAGCCCTACCTGAATTCCCTGGCCTTCCATTCCCTCCTCCTCGCCTTGACCTCATCAGTATCCATAACCCGGGCTACTTCAGGCTCGGGGCCCTTCATGTGGGCTAGGTCCTCGTAGTCCTCACCCGCAACGATGTCTGTAGTGTCGCCTTCCACCTCTGCCATGCCGTAAGAGCGTTCTACTGAGTCGAACTCTTACACGACCGCACAACGCAAGTAACAAGTCGAATAGAAAGCAATTCGAACATCCACATAAACCTGTACATCACTGAGATCCATGCTTGAAGCAGATTAAAAACCCATGGCACCGTCGACAGGCTGGAAGGCAAACATTGCCTAAGATTACCACACTGCCGCCGTGGCCACCACACACCCCCAACCGGTATCAGTGAGCCGGGCCCCGTGAGGACCCGCATCTAGGCCGTCCAGTTCAGGGCAGGAACAATGACAACCACCCGAGCATGACTCGTGAATAGCTGTTAGCATTTGACCGAGCTGAACTAGGGACTACCCACAGGCCGCGATGTGAGGACCCTACTGATGTCACCGTACACATGGCGGGTCTATTCGAGAAGATGGAGATCGTCGTCGTTGAAGTCCCACACCAGAAAACTATCTATAGTGGGCAGTAACAATACTGCGAAATGCAAGCTCAGAAAGGTTTGGAGAATATCCGGGGGGGCCTACTTGGTCCCTCGTCTGTGGTTCACATCTACTTAACATTTGAGGTAGGTCGGTGCTTCCACTATTGGTAATTAGATATCCAAACAGTTGTAGGCACAGGCCCGCTTGTGACAGGCGTCCTTGATAAGTCCTGGCCTAGACCGAGGCCCTTATGGACCAACTAGGCCGCTATACGGCAT